ATAGTGGGAGGCATTCTGTCTTCTGCCAGACTACTGGGTGGGAGACTCCCAACTTACAGGAAGGGTTTCAAATGCTGAGCAGCTAGAAAACTCCACAAATGTGTACTTCATCTTCTTTGACCTCACATCTAAAAGTAACCCATCAATCACTTTAATATCACCTTTTTCTGTTTTCATCACAGCACTTTTCCCTACTGGATATATTCTTATTGTATTTGTATTATTGTTTATTATCTGTCCCCTCCTCCTAGAATGTTAGTACCATGAAATTTAAGGAACTTTTGTTCACTGCTGTATCCCCTGGGCCTGGAATACTGCCTGGCATACAGGAGAAGCTTCTTGTGCACATTTATGAGCCCAGGAATGAATAAATATATAAAGCCATTAGCACAATTCCTGGTACATAGTAAATGTATATTTGGCAACTTACTATTTCTTAGGAGATAAAAGTATTTACATTCTTTTTCATTTAAATTCAATTACTTAACGTATAATATATTATTTGTTTCAGTGGTACAGGTCTGTGATTCATCAGTCTTATATAATACCCAGTGCTCATTACAACACATACCCTCCCCAGTGTCCATCACCCAGTGACCCCATCCCTCCACCCTCCTCTCCTCCAGCAATCTTCAGTTTGTTTCCTGAGATTAAGAGTCTCTCATGGTTTGTCTTCCTCTCTGGTTTCATCTTGTTTCATTTTTTCCTTTCTTTCCCTATGATCCTTTGCCTTGTTTCTTAAATTCCACATATCATTGAGAGCATACAATAATTGTTTTTCTCTAATTGACTTATTTTGCTTAGCGTAATACCCTCTAGTTCCATCCACGTTGTTGCAAATGGCAAGATTTCCTTTTTTATGGCTGCATAATATTCCATTATGTGTATCTACACCACATCTTCTTTTTTTTTTTAAGATTTTATTTATTTATTTATTTGACAGAGAGAGAGAGAGCGAGAGAGCGAGAGCACAAGCAGGCAGAGAGGCAGGCAGAGGCAGAGGCAGAGAAGCAGGCTCCCCACTGAGCAAGGAGCCCGACGCGGGGCTCGATCCCAGGACGCTGAGATCATGACCTGAGCCGAAGGCAGCGGCTCAACCCACTGAGCCACCCAGGCGCCCTACACCACATCTTCTTGATCCATTGATTTGTCAGTGGACATCTGGACTCTTTCCATAGATGGGGTGTTATGGACACTGCTGCTATAAACATTGTGGTGCAGGTGCCCCTTTGCATCACTACATTTGTACCTTTGGGATAAATACACAGTAGTGCAATTCCTGGGTCATACAGTAGCTCTATTTTCAACTTTTTGAGGAACCTCTACTATTTTCCAGAGTGGCTGCACCAACTTGCATTCCCAACAGTGTAGGAGGGCTCCCTTTTCTCTGCATCCTCGCCAGCATCTGTTGTTTTCCTCACTTGTTAGTTTTAGCCATTCTGACTGGTGTGAGGTCGTATCTCATTGTGGCTTTGGTTTGTATTTCCCTGATGCCAAGTGATGTTGAGTATTTTTTCATGTGTCTGTTGGCCATTTGGATGTCTTCTTTGGAGAAATGTCTGTCCATGTCTTCTGCCCTATTGTGACTGGATTATTTGTTCTTTGGGTGTTGAGTTTGATACGTTCTTTATAGATTTTGGATACTAGCCCTTTCTCTGATATGTCATCTGCAAATATCTTCTCCCATTCTGCTGGTTGTCTTTTGGTTTTGTTGACTGTTTCCTTTGCTGTGCAAAAGCTTTTGATCTTGATGAAGTCCCAATAGTTCGTTTTTGCCTTTGTTTCCCTTGCCCTATGGAGACGTGTTTAGCAAGAATTTGCTGCAGCTGAGGTCACAGAGGTTGCTGGTTGTGTTGTCCTGTAGGATTTTGATGGATTCCTGTCTCACATTTAGGTCTTTCATCCGTTTTGAGTCTATTTTTGTGTATGATTTAAGGAAATGGTCCAGTTTCATTCTTCTGCATGTGGTTGTCTAGTTCTCCCAATAACATTTGTTGAAGAGACTGTCTCTTTTTTTGGATATTCTTTTCTGCTTTGTTGAAGATTAGTTGACCATAGTATTTATATTCTTTTAAAAATAGCATTAAATAAAAAACACCATACCTACATTATATCATTTGACCTTTTCAGTCTTCCAAGAAAAAGGGTGTTGGGTGTGAAGCATATGGGCCTTTTTCTGGTGAGGCATATGTGGCCCCTTCAGTGTTTGTTCTAGTTCTTCCTGTGCCTGTGAGACACAGCAGTGAGAGCCTATGTGGAAAGACTGAGATTTGACCAAGGCCACATAGCTTACTTACTATTACCAGATATTCTCACTGACTTTAGTGTTCTTTCTGTTACAATAAATCTCACCCTATATTCTTGGTGATTGTGAGGGAAATTACTATTGGGTGTTTTTTTTGGGGGGGGAGGGGAGGTTGACCATTATATCACAAAGCAGAGCCATAAACATAATTGCAGGCCAGCATTAGTGTATGCCAATTTGTCCAAATTCACATTTTTAATTTGGTGCCCTGAGACCCCTAGGAAAGTTATCATGAAACCATAGTTGTTCCCAGTTGGCATCCTTAGGTGTTATTCATGGTCACATGTTTTGTGATCCTAAACAGTGCCAGTGACTTACATATCTCCCTGGTAATGCTCACTAAGATGCAATGCTGGATGTCTTCCACATTATGGGGAAGGCTCTTGACCTTTTAAGAGCTTATGATCCCAAAAGATATCATTTTGATGTATTTGCATAAACCCCAAAGAACTTGGGCTGAATGGGAACATCTAATCAGGTAGCAGGATTTTTATTGTCCTACTGTGTGCCTAATGCTAAAAAAAAAAAAAATCCATAATAGCAAAGTGTTTATATAGTTTCTTTTGTGATTAAATATCAAAGGAAAAGAGGGAGTCTGCTTACAGATCTGGTGGAGAGATGATTTCAGGAGGGTGTGCTAGGAATCTGTAGGGGTGCCACTGATGGAAAACCCGGGCCAGGAGATCGAGAAGTGGTCTTGGGAATCCTGCTGGCTTAGAGGGTTGGCAGAGGGGCTTGGCCCTGAAAGCCATCATCCCAGCCATACTGGGGAAGAAAGACTAAACTTCCTGTGTAGCTTCAGTGGTGGAACCAGGACCAAAAGTTGGAAATAACAGGGAGCAGAACTTTCTTTCAAAGCCTAGTGGGGTTTTTGGCTCTAGCATTCCTTTTTTTTTTCTTCTTTTTTTCTGATTTCAATATTAATGTGATTTCATAGAAGAGAATTGAAAATATCACAAAGCAGAAGGAAAAAAATCAGTCACACTACTATTCAAAGATGGCTATTGTTATATTTCCTTTTTTATTTTTTAAAGATTTTGTTTTTATTTATTTATATTATTTGTGAGAGAGAATGCAAGAGAACACAAGCAGTGGAGAGGGAGAAGCAAGCTCTCTGCCAGCAGGGGGCCCTTTGCGAGGCTCAATCCTGAATTCATGACCTGAGCTGAAGGCAGACGCTTAACCTACTGAGGCACCCAGGTGCCCCATTTATATATTTCCTTTTTTACTTTTTATTTTATTTTTTAAAACGATTTTATTTATTTATTTGACAGAGATCACAAGTAGGCAGAGAGGCAGGCAGAGAGAGAGGAGAAGCAGTCTCCCTACCGAGCAGAGAGCCTGACATGGGGCTTGATCCCAGGACCCTGAGATCATGATCTGAGCCGAAGGCAGAGACCTAACCCACTGAACCACCCAGGCACCCCTGTATTTCCTTTTTAAAACACAGTTTTGGTAGTAGTATTTATTAAAAAAGCATCATGTTATCATATAAACATTTGGTGTGATGTAAGCATTTTTCCTTCATAAGTAGCATTTTTTAATAAGTAGCATTTCTAATTCTGCTTAATATCAAATGGCTATGCATTGTTTAGTCATTACTCTATCATTGGAAATTTTGGTCCTTTTAATTTTTTTATTTTTAGAAAATTTGTGATGGGGTACCTGATTGGTAGAACATGCGACTCTTGATCTCAGGGTCCTGAGTTTGAGCCCCACGTTGGGCATGGAGCCTACTTAAAAAAATAAAATAAAATCTTTGATGAATATGCTTGGGTATAGAAGTTTTGTGTTTCTTGTATTTTGCATTTTCTACTGGTAAGTTCTCATAAATAAAATTAGTAGGTTTTTCTAACCATCAGAGTTTATAACAAAGGAGTAAGTTGCTTCAAGAGGTGAGACTGAAAGCCTACCTACCAGGATATTGAAGAGGGATTTCTTTATCAGATTGAATCTTAGACATGATCACCTTTACCTTTCCTGTCCACCTTTGATTTTGTGAATCTATTAGAGGGTTTAGTGCTGTCTGTGATACTGATTTGGTTTTGGGGAGAGCCAAGATGAGGGTCGAGGATTCAAAGTATAATTAAAAGACTGGTTGCCGGGGCGCCTGGGTGGCTCAGTGGGTTAAGGCCTCTGCCTTCGGCTCAGGTCATGATCTCAGGGTCCTGGGATCGAGCCCCACATTGGGTTCTCTGCTCGGTGGGGAGCCTGCTTCCTCCTCTCTCTATCTCTCTCTCTCTCTGCCGGCCTCTCTGCTTACTTGTGATCTCTCTCTGTCAAATAAATAAATAAAATCTTAAAAAAAAAAAAAAGACTGGTTGCCACAGATGCATACTGAGCAAGTGAAACTTGACATCCTTCTTGCTACATGTCTTGTTCTTATTTTCAGGATATGCTCCCATCTTCCTTCGTACTTCTATCCAGCCCTCCATTTTCTGGTGAAGCATACATGACCTCTTCAGTGTTTGTTGCAGTACTTCCTGTGGCTCTGATTCATTGTTTCCCCTTTCCCACCCTTTTCATCTTCCAAAGGTTCTTCAGCACTATGCAGCAGGGCCAACTCACCATGTTATAAATCATAGGCAATAGCTAGTTCACTAGGTAGGCTGTTGAACTGTTTCAGGGGATAGAACTAGGGCCCTGAAGCCACCCTATTCCATCCCTTAAGGTTTGATGGGTTTTTTTTCCCCAGGTAATTAAATGTGTGTCTTGTGGACCTGGGCTTGGCTGGAATGCTCAAGGGTCCTGAAGATCCTTCTATAGCTTCCTGCTGTTGAATTCCATTAAGAGAAGATGGCAAAAGTCAACATAACTAGAGACCTCATCCGTAGGCAGATCAAGGTAAGCACCTTAGACCTTTGTACAAAAGCATGAGGTTCTTTCTTCCTAACAGACTGGGGAAGAAGCTGAGGTCTGAAGACCTTGACTTGCCTGAAGTCACACAGCTACTTAGTGGCAGACCCAGGACTAGAATCAGGGTCTCTTGACTCCCATCTTCTTTTGCCCACGAACATGGAATTCATGGAGACTCCTCTATCCTAGTGCTTTGTACCTGGGCTGCTGAAATTAATGAAAGCTGGTGAGAGAAGGGAGCCATCTGTGTCTTGTGCATGTGCATACACAACTGTGTTGTGCATATGTAGGTTTATGCGGGGGGGTGCTACAGCAGGAGAAAATACAGCATCTTCATGTTGTTCTAGCTGCCGAGTTGTGCACGTAACAGAACCTGGAAGAGTCTTAGTCCTAGTTCAGCTTAAACTCTTTCTTCTTTTCTTTAAGGGTCTCCTGCACCTGACCTATGCAGTTGGTACATTCTGCGAGATGAATGAATGACCAGGCAGTCAAGTTCATTTAGCAGGGTAGCCCAGGCTTTGTCAGGAGCACAGGGATTGATGGATGGATGGATGGATGGATGGATGGTTTGTTTGTTTTTTTTGTTTGTTTGTTTTTTAAGGACCACAGGGATTTAATGGAAGAGTTTCCACCAAGACAGGATGTGCTTCTGTAGTAAGAACCCCAAGCTGGGGTCAGGAGCTTAAGACCCTAATTACTTATAAGACTTGAGTCATTTTACTTCCTTTTGTTTTCTGTTGTTAAATGATAATAATGTCTGCCTTTAGGCAGATCATAGAGAATGAAATCTGAAAGTTCTTTGAAAAGGTTAAGTGCTAAAAAAATTTTTTAATTAAAAATCTTTAAAAAGTCAGTGGCATGCAGCCTACGCTGTGATCATCATCTAAAAGGATTGAGTGTATGCCTCTACATGAGCTGTGTACTTGGTGCACATCAATCTGTTTCATGTATTTTTTTCCCGCATCCCTGAATCCTTTGGGGGCTTTGTCCATTTGTGGGTTTTTTTGTAATTTCATTGGACTGGATGGCCCTCAAGGGCAAGGACCATTTCCTAGAGGCACAGAATCAGAACTGGAGGGACGATGAAGTTATTTTTTTTCCTATGAATATACTCCACAATATGTGTCCTAAAGATGGTGCCCACCCACTCCATCCTAACAATGCAAACTCCCTATTTGTTGTTTTTAGTTTTTTTCGTTTTTTCTTTTCCTCCTCCTCCTCCTCCTCCTTCTTTTTTTGTAACCCAACAGCACAACTTTGTGCTTAATTTTATACTCTCTTATTATTATTCTCTAACCCTTACCCAAGTATAGTGCAGACTCCTGCAGGCCAATTTCTTGTTACTTTTATAGATCCTATGGTGCCCAGCACAGTGCTGGGTACATAATAGGTACATGGGAAATCATGTTGGATTAAATTAATGAAACTGTGAGTTTGTATCTGTCCCCCAGGAGCGGGGTGCCCTGAGCTTTGAGCGGCACTACCATGTCACTGACCCCTTTATCAGGCGGCTGGGCCTGGAAGCAGAGCTACAGGTAAGAAATCCAATTTGCATACTAGATGCAGATGGCTGGGTCTCCATTTTCTGTCTGTAGAGAATCCTCTGCATTATTCAAGGCATAAAAAAGTTTTTCTCTTCAGGTCACACCTGATGGTTACCTCTCCTTTCCAACAGTTTTATTAGGCAGGTAAAAATAGGCAGGTGAATCAAGGTTAGTGATTGGTATGGTCATGCAGAAGTTATTTCTTGGTCATATATTATTTGCTGTGTGCTTGGAAAAAAGATTGTTGAAATGTGTGCCACGTTTTTCCTATTGGCTTGGACAATAATTATTCTTACCTTTGCAAAGGAAGTTAGAGTTTACACAGTGTTTTTACACACACGCGCGCGCGTGCGCGCGCACTTTCTTATTTTAGCTTCAAAGTAATGTTGTGGGGTTATAGGGAATGGGTATTAAAAAAAAAAGGTTTAGAAAGGTCAAGCACCTTGTCCAGTGTTGTCCTGACCAGTCCATGGAAAGCCAGGCCTTCAGTCCAGAAGTTCACCTTTTTCATTATGTCCAACACAGAGACACTCTATAATGTTATGATGTTAGTTCCAGTCCCTTTCCTTCTTCCAGACCATGTTTTGAATCCAACTTTTAGATGTCCTATCCAATTTAGTGTTATCAGTGGGTTGAGTTGGAATTCTCTTTGCTGGGATGCCTGGGTGGCTCACTCAGTTAAGCGTCTGCCTTCAGCTCTGGTCATGATCCCAGGGTCCTGGGATCAAACCCCGCATTGGGCCATCCAGGTGCCTCTAAATTTAGTTTTAAAACCTGTTTTCCTGGGCACCTGGGTGGCTTAGTCATTAAGTGTCTGCCTTGGGCTAAGGACATGATCCCCAGGTCCTGGGATCAAGCCCCGAGTCAAGCTCCATGCTTGGCAGGAAGCCTGCTTCTCCCTCTCTCACTCCTCCTGCTTGTGTTCCCTCTCTCCCTGTCTCTGTCTCTGTCAAATAGATAAATAAGTAAAATCTTTAAAAAAAAAAAAAAAAAAAAGTAAAACTTGTTTCCTCACTAGCTATATGGTCTTGTGCAGGTTACCCTAGTTTCCTGATGTGTGAAGTAGAGCAGTAACTGAGAATTGTTGTGATGATTAAATGAGATTTGTGTGAAGCACTAACAACACAGTGCCTGGATCATAGAAAGCTAGTTCATGATTCTTAAGTCTTCCAGATTTTTTTCTTAATTGATTTATTTATTTTTTTTTAAGATTTTATTTATTTATTTGACAGACAGAGATTACAAGCAGGCAGAGAGGCAGGCAGAGAGAGGAGGAAGCAGGCTCCCTGCTGAGCAGAGAGCCCGATGCGGGGCTCGATCCCAGGACCCTGGGATCATGACCTGAGCCGAAGGCAGAGGCCTAACCCACTGAGCCACCCAGGCGCCCCTTAATTGATTTATTTGACAGAGATTACAAGTAGGCAGAGAGGCAGGCAGAGAGAGAGAGAGGAGGAAACAGGTTCCCTGCTGAGCATAGAGCCCAATGTGGGGCTTGATCCCAGGACCCTGGGAACATGACCTGAGCTGAAGGCAGAGGCTTTAATCCACTAAGCCACCCAGGCGCCCCCTTGCAGTTTCTTAATATAAATTTTTTTGCCTACAAAATGAGGCTCAAACCATTTAAATAGTTTGGTAAACTCTTTTATACTTTTATATCATGATTGCTTACATATTTCTAAAAATTCTTTGAAAACATAATTTTTAAGACATTTATTTATCCTTTATTGATTTGGAGTTTCTTTCCATATTTCCTTCAGAACATAACTCAAAGTACTCCCTTCTGGTGCAGCTGGGGACAGGGCATGAAAGATTTTTACCTCCAAGGGGATATTTAGCAATATGTAATACCAGTTTTAGTTGGCCAGATGAGAAGAGTACTGCTGGCATATAGTGGACAGGGGATAGGGATGCTGCTAGACCTCCTACAACACCCAGTACAGCAACAAAGAATGTGCAGTAAAGAATTATGCAGCCCAAATGCCAACAATGCCGTGGTTGAGAAACCCTGCTCTGCTGGATGCTGAGTGGACAGTGGTCACTGGCTGGCTGGGCTCACTCTTTCAGCTGTGCCTCCAGCCAACCCATATTCTCTCCCATCTCTTCCTAGTTAAGTAACTTGGTCCGAAATAGACTTAGAAGCTTTTATAAACACAAAACAGGATCCCATGTATTGTTTCGCAAAGTTTGGAGCGCAAATATAAAATTACATCGAGGTGAAATGTTTCAATTTGCACTTCCCTAACCTACATAGTATGTACAGATTTCAATGTTTAAAAAAAAAAAGAAAGAAAGAAAGAAAAGAAAAGAAAAGAAAAGAAACAAAAACTCTAGTTTAAATCCCAGCTTTGCCACTTGTGAGACTTAGAGAAGTGAGAGCAGATGGAAAGATGATGACTGGGAGAAAAATGGGTTTGGGAGAGTTTCAGGGGTTGGACATATTAAATTTGGAACCCTGTTGGATAGCTTTATGGAGATGTCAAGTAAATAGGCAGTTGATGATACTAATTAGGAGAGAGCTATGGACAGGAGGGAGAAATCTGAAGACTCAACTCTAGGAGGGATAGAGACTAGGGCCCAAGACCTAGCTATGGAGACACTCCAGCTTTTAGAAGTTGATTACAAGCTAAGAAGATAAAAAGTTACCCAAGAAAGTCATCAGTGAAGTAAAAAGGAAACAGAACCAGGAAAGTGTAAAGGCCACATAATGAGAATATTTTAAGAAAGAAGGAGTGGTCACTTCTACTCAGTGCTTTTGAAAGGTTGGGTAAGATGAGGACAGAACAATGCATGTGGTCTTTACTGGAGCAGTTTTACTGGAGTGGTGGGAATAGATGCTAGATCGGAGGGGTTGTGAGAGGGAATTGGAGGAAAAGAAGTGACAGCCATATCATAGACAGCTTTCTTGTTTTCTCTTTCTTTAAAGAGAGGTGGAAGTTTATCTTTTAATTTATTTAATACAGACTTTTCCCCCAGATGAGAGGAGGTAGGATATAATCAGTAAAAAGGGTAAACTATAAAAGATACTTTCTCTTGGCCATCTATGTCTACTATTTACCTTTCTTCAGCTCTCTTGTCCTCCTGTCTTTGAGTTGGCTTTAACCAGTTGTAGGGGGGTTCATTTCAGAAGATGGAGGAAGAATGGCATCTGTTTTTCTTTTCTTTCTTTCTTTTTTTTTTTTAACAGAGATCACAAGTAGGCAGAGAGGCAGGCAGAGAGAGAGGAGGAGGCAGGCTCCCTGTTAAGCAGAGAGCCCGATGCGGGGTTCGATCCCAGGACCCTGGGATCATGACGTGAGCCAAAGGCAGAGGCTTTAATCCACTGAGCCACCCAGGCTCCCCAAATGATGTCTTCTTTATTCTCTCGTTTCTTTCCTTCAAAGTCATTTTATTTTGTTTTTGTTTTCCACTTTACAGAGTTGTCTACACAACTCTTGAAAAAACTTTGTTTATGAAAGGAAGTGGAGAACTGGAGAAGTGGCTGGGTCTATGGGATCAAGGGAGATTAATAAGAATGGAAGAAATATGAGCATGTGATTATGTTGATGGCAGGGGAAGGTTTGCTGATGTAGTAGGACAGAATAATTGAAGGAGCAAAGTGCTGGGGAAGGCTGGAGGCAGTGGGATTCAAGAGTTCAAGCAGTTCAGGCCTTTGATAAAAGCCAAGACATTTCTATCATTGTTAAAGGGTCCAGTGGGTCTAGGATAGGAGAGAGGCATAGACTGGAATAAAAACTGAAGTGTCATTCATTGACAGAGAGAGAGAGTCTATAGTAGCAGTTTTCAAAGTGTTGTCTGCAGACCCCTGGGAATCCCCATGACTTTTTCAAGGATGTCTGTGGTCAAAACTACTTTCATAGTAGTATCAAGACGCTGTTTGCAAAACAAAAATTAATTCATTTAAAATTTGCAAAAAATGGGGCGCCAGAGTGGCTCAGGTGGTAAACATCTGCCTTTGGCTCAGGTCATGATTTCGGGGTCCTGGGATCAAAGCCCTGCTTTGGGCTCCCGGCTCATTGGGGAGTCGTCTTCTCTCTCTGCCCCTTCCCTGCTTCCGTTCTCTCTCTTTCTCTATCAAATAAGTAAATATGCTCTTAAAAAATAAATAAAATTTGCCAAAAAAAAAAAAAAAGTGAGTAAAACTACTCTCACCTTAGTATGGATTAAGGCAAATAGCATCAATTGACTTATTAACGCCCTGCATTTGCAGTAACCAAAAAAAGCAGGTTTTACTTAAAATGTGCTTGATGTGAAGCAACAAAAATTACTAGTTTTAGGGCGCCTGGGTGGCTCAGTGGGTTAAGCCGCTGCCTTCGGCTCAGGTCATGATCTCAGGGTCCTGGGATCGAGTCCTGCA